GGCTCACTGCAACCTCCACCTCCCAGGTTCAAGTGATTCTCATGCTTCAGCTTCCCAAGTAGCTGGGATTACAGGTGTACATCACCTCGTCCGGCTAATTTTTGTATTTTTAGTAGAAACGAGGTCTCACCATGTTGACCAGGCTGGTCCCAAACTTCTGGCCTCAAGTGATCCACCTGGCTCAGCCTCCCAAAGTGCTGGGATGACAGGCATAAGCCACTGCGCCCAGCCCCAAAGTAACTAATATTAATAAACAGCCTTTGCGCGGAGGACTTCTACATTTGACACATGGGAAATATGATGACCGTCCAATGTAAGGAGGCTGCAGGCAGTGGGGAATGCAGAAGGCTCTTGAGAGCAAAGGCCTGGGCAGCTCCTTCCGCAGGGGCCAGGGAAGGAGGCAACTGTAACTGTAACTGGGTGTGTGAGTGGAGAGTGGGGTCCTGCTGGGGGACAAAGAAAACATATCATAGTCCAAGGAGAGAAAGGGAATTTGGAATGACAATCAGGCACTTTAAATGGCTTGGTGAGGGATGGCAGAATATACCACTAAGAGTGGACTTGAGCACATGAAGTCGGAGTGGAAAGTTGGGTAAGATCATTTGCATCCTGACTGCAGATGTCCTTATGTGTCAGGGTGAGGGATTGGGTTGGTTCCTTACCTGGGGTTGATAGAGATTATGAAAAGGAGGCTGGATGGAAGGAACTGACTCTTTAGAAGGACATCCCTGGTCTTGGGTTCAACAAAGAGCCAGAAGGCGGCAGAGCAGGCCAGGGGGACTGGAGGCTGGTCTCAGAGATATGGAGGAGGAAGGGAGTGAGAGACGCTCGAGGCGAAGAACCCACGGGGTGACTGTGGCCCTGGTCAGAAGGCGAGGGAGGGATAGGGATGAGGCTGAAAGTTGTAGTTCGGTTGACCAGGTGGATTTTCTCATCACTGTCATGCAGGAATGGTGTGGGGGAGAGAGAAAAAGGGAAAGGAGAGGAAATGTGGCCAGTCACTAATGTGATAGAGAGAAGGTCTGGGCTGGTTCTGCCTTCTTAGGGAATCACAATTCTCTAAGGTGGTGACCCCAGCCACCTAATGGGATCCCACAATGGCAGGGTCCTTGGCACCCGAGAATTCATTCAGTTACACATTCATTCATTTGTTCGTTCAACTCTAATTGCCAAGTGTCTATCAGGCACATCAATGGGTTGAGTAGATCCTGCCCACTGAGAATCTGCAGATTAGTATGGGAGGGAGCTTTACTAAATAAATTTAGAACTGTGCAGTAGATGCTAAATATAGTTAGGAAAACATGCTGTTTGCACAGTGGAGGAAGTTAATAACTGCATGAAGAGGTCAGGGAAGTCTTGCCCAAGGAGTGAGATTTGAAACAGTTGTGGAACCCCGAGTCAGTGCAGCCAGCTGGAGGCCACGACAAAGGGACAGGAAGTCCTGGCAGTAAACAGCCTGGGCAAAGGTTGAGAAGCAATCAAGAGACTCGATTTTGGTCAATTGCAGTTGGCTTAACATGGCAGAAATAGGGAGAGAGGGTGCACAAGAAATGGGACTTGGGACCAAGCCTGAGCCAGGCTTCAAAGGCTGTGTCATGGGAAGGAGGCTGAATTGCATCCCCTCAACCCAAGTGGTCTCTTCACAAGCCATATGTAGCTCTTGACCCCTTGGCTGGTCCAAATTATCCAAGATGTGGGTATAAAATACATACCAGATTTTCGAAAGTGGATACAAAAGAAAAACAAGTTTCAACTATCTAGTAACTAATTTTTGTATTGATTATAGGTTGAATTGGTAATATTGGGGATATATTGTGTTCAATAAAATATAACATTAAAAATCATTTCACCTATTTGTTTTTACCCTTTAAAAATTATGTAGCCACTGGAAAATTGGAAATTACAGATGTGGCTTGCATGTGTTCCTTAGAGTGTAGGAGACAATAAAGGGTTAGAGAGGAGGAATGCAGGCAAGGTCGGATCTAGGAGCAAAAAGATGAGGAGTGGTGGGTACAGGCTGCATGCAGCAGGACGATGGATGGGAAGGAGACCAAATAATGGTCAAGGCGAGAAATGACTCAGACTAAAGGAAAGGATTTGACAAGAGGGAAGGCCAGGCAGGTGACTGATGGGGAAATCATGATACTATTATTTTGTTGAACAGTCGTGATGGATAAAAACTTTTTGTTTGTTTGTTTGTTTGTTTGTTTTTGAGAGAGAGTCTCACTCTGTCGCCCAGGCTGGAGTGCTGTGGTGCAATTTCAGTTCACTACAACCTCCGCCTCCCAGGTTCAAGCAATTCTTCTGTGTTAGCCTCCCAAGTAGCTGGGATTAGAGGCACCCACCACCACGCCCAGGTAATTTTTGTATTTTTAGTAGAGACAGGGTTTCACCATGTTGCCCGGGATGGTCTCAAACTCCTGTCCTTAGGTGATCTGCCCGCCTCGGCCTCCCAAAGTGCTAGGATTACAGGAGTGAGCCACCACGCCCAGTTGGATAAAAACTTTTTATATAAGTTAATCAGTTCTATGATTATCCCCTTTACATACAACATTGGAAATGTTGGCTTAGATTTTAAGTGACTTCTCCAGAGCTAAGACTCACGCTCAGTCTGGCCTCAAGCCTGAGTTCCAGGTCTCATTTTTCATTGAGCTAATGGGGCAGAGGCATGAGGATGATACTGGAGTCCACCTCAGCTCCTGGCTTTCTAGATTTCTTGTCATAGCATAGAATCCCAGAATCATGAAGGATGAAAGCTAGAGAGGGATAGGTTACAAGCAGAAGACAGAGTTCCTCTGGAACCATCTGGCTGACCTTTAAAACTGTGGGCCATGGCCAGGTGCAGTGACTCACACATGTAGTTCAGCCACTCAGCAGGCTGAGACAGGAGGATCGCTGGAGCCCAGGAGTTCAAGGCTGTAGAGCATCATGATTGAACCTGTGAACAGCCATAGCAGTCCAGCCTGGGCAGCATAGCAAGATCCTGTCTCTAAAATAAAATAATAAACAAATAAATAATAATGTTTTAAAATGTGGGCCTGGCCCAGGGGTAAAAGCCTGATGCACGAAGAACCCAATGCATAGAGCATAGCATAAGCTGAGATCACTGTTTCTTTGTTGTTTCTTTTCTTTTCTTTTCTTTTTTTTTTTTTTTTTTTGGAGATGGAATCTCGCTCTGTCACCCAGGCTGGAATGCAGTGGCGTGATCTCAGCTCATGGCAGCCTCTGCCTCCTGGGTTCAAGCGATTCTCCTGCCTCAACCTCCCAAGTAGCTGGGATTACAGGCATGCACCACCACACCCAGCTAATTTTTGTATTTTTAGTAGAGATGAGATTTCACCATGTGGGTCAAGCTGGTCTCGAACTCCTGACCTCAGGTGATCCACCCGCCTTGGCCTCCCAGAGTGCAGGAGACCCCTGGTTAACAAGAGAGGGACTCGTGACCACACACGGAAGGCTGATATTGGCTGATACTGGCCTGTGCCTACCTCTCTGGGGAGATGCCTCAGGATCTTCTTAGCTATGGTGAAAGGATGTGCTCAGCCAAGCTGGGGTTACAAGGGAGATGGTTTGCCGGCACTTCTCTGAGTGTGAGGCATGTCTACAGGTTGTGTGGACACCCAATGTAGGAGTCCCTCTCTGCAAGGCATACTCAGACCCACCACCCACGGGCTCAGGGGGCCCTGCTGTGGGCCAGGGCTGCGGGGAGCTCCCCACTGCTACTTCACCCAGCCAGTCCAACACAGTCTCAGTGAGACCACGTCCTTCATGCCTCTAGGTATCTCCAGGGGTCCAGAGGCTCCTGCCTGGGGTCACAGGCAGGATAATTTGAGGGGGCACTCTGATTATCCCACCAAGTGTGGCTTGCTTAAAACCTGGAGGCAGGAACTGGAGTGCTCCCGAGCAAGGCTCAGCAAACTACGGCCTGAGTGCCATACCCAGCCCAGTGCAGCCCCATCTGTTTCTGTAAATACAGCTTAATAAGAACACGGCCATGCCTCTTTGTTCACATATTATCTATGGCTGCTTTCTTGCTACAAGGACAGAATTGAGCAGTTGTGACAGAGATCACGTAGCCCGCAAAGCCAAAAATATTTACCATCTGGCTCTATAGAAAATGGGCTGGGTGCAGTGGCTCACACCTCTAATCCCAGCACTTTGGGAGGCCCAAGCAGGGGGATCACTTGAGCTCAGGAGTTTGAGATCAGCTTGAGCCAACACAGTGAGACATTCTTCTCTCCAAAAATAAAACTAAATAAATAGCTAAGCCTGGTGATGCACACCTGTAGTCTCAGCTGCTCAGGAGGCTGAGACAGAAGAATCACTTGAGCCTGGGAGTTCGAAGCTGCAGTGAGCTGTGATTGCACCACTGCACTCCAGCCTGGACCACAGAGCAAGACTTTGTCTCTAAAAAAAGAAAGAAAAGAACATGTTTGCTGACACCTGCCACTCTCTTGTGCAAATAAGTCAATGCATTTACTTGCTCATCTAGACCAGTGGTTCACAATCAGTGTGAGTTTACCACCTGGGGACATTTGGCAATGTCTGGAGACATTTTTGTTTGTCACAACTGGGAAGGGGCATCTGGTGGGTAGAGGCCACAGATGCCACTCACCATTCGACAATCCACAGTACAGCCCCAGAGCCAAGAACTGACCAGCCCAAAACATCAATAGGACCAAGGTGGAGAACCTGCTCTAGGCCTATCACCTGGCTCCTGTTCTCCCCGGAGGCCCAGGCCAGGTGCTTTCTAAGCTTGTTTACTCTGTAACCCCTGGGCAGAATCAGATGACACCAGAGGGTCCTGTCCTTGGCAGGGATGCCCCCCTAGGGTGTTTTAATCAACCCCTTGCTTCCCATGGCCCACAAAAGTAGGGACTCAGGTGAGCGCTCACCACAATGCCTCGGCTGAGCAGATTGTGATCTGCCAGTCTCCCGGGGCCCTGGGCCTTTGCCCGAGGCTGGTACTACAAGATCGCACAACAGTCAGACCAAACTCAGCAAAAAGTCACAAGCAGCTTTAATTCCCTAATGCAGTCTCCAATGGGGATTTACAGCAACACTGCAGGACCAGGAGATGCTGAGTGGCTCAGACCTCCTCAGCGCTTCAGGCCATGGCTCCACCCTCTTCCACGACAGCCTCTCCAAGGGGATGCATGCCCGTTCTGTCTTCAGTTCAAGGGACAGGTGTCCCGGCTGCAGTGCGTTCCATTTCTTCCTCCCACTCCCTCTCCCTCTCCTTCTTCTCGAAGCTGCGGGCCCCCATAGCACAGTAATACGTAGCCTCGTCCTCAGGCTGTAGCTCAGCGATGTTCAAATACCCCTTGTTCCCGGCCACATCTTTGGATCCAGAGAAGCGAGGGGGTACCTGGGGGCCCTGGCTCTTGTCTGACTGTGAGAAGTATCTCAGCAGGAACCTCGGAGGGTGGCCCAGCCTCTGCTGGTACCAGTAGACGCTGTACACACTGATGTCATGGTCGTTCCTCAGGGTGCAGGTGAGGCGGATTGTGGTTCCAAGGGCTGAGGACATGGCCGGCGGCTGATGCAGCACCGGCTGAGGACCACAACCTGGTGACACAGAAGCATGCGGGCCGTGGGGGCAGGACTGGGTGAAGGAAGGGGCAGGGGTCTTTGGGCTCTGGGGGTTCCCTCACCTGTGCAGTAGACAAGCAGCATGAGCAGGACAGGAGCCCAGGACATGGTGCAGACCCGCAGAGCTCTGACCCCTGTGGCCACGGTGCCTGGGGTCCCCAAGGGCTGGCGCAGTATCCTCCTCCCTGCTCTGAGAGGTGGGGCCGTGGCACACCTCGTTCTGGCCACTACCATCCTAGACTTTCTTCGGTTACCGGAACAGCATGGCGGCAGCATTTGTGGCTCTGATCTTGCCATGTGGAAGCATTCAGAGAGGATGCACCTGCTGGAGACTCTGGGGCCAGTACCCTGGAGGCCTTTGGGTTAAGGTCCCTCAAGGGGTGTGACCTCAACTTCCCCCTGAAGAAGCTGAGCCCCAGAGAAATAAACTTTCTGTCCACACTTAAATGCTTGGTGAGCCAGAAAAGGAGGACACATCCTCGAGGGGTGAAAACACCTGCTTTGTACAGCAGAAGACACTGGGGGCCCAGAGCAGGTTGGGATGCACTGCCCCTTCCACACTCCAGCACTGCCTTCAGCCCATGCTCCTCTCCCTCCCAGAACCAAGCAAAGTGACTCAGGCTAAGGAAAGAAGCACCAGGGCCCTGGCGTCTTCCCCACCCCAGTTCGGGCTCACCGAGCAGGTGCAGTTTGGCGCTGTGATGGATTGAATTGCATCCCCCAAATCCATAGGTTGAAGCCCTAACCCCCAGTGTGCCTGTATTTGGAGATGGGGCCTTTAAGGAGCTAATGAAGGTTAAATGAGGTCACAGAAGTGGGGTCCTGGTCAGTACAACTGGTGTCCTTATAAAAAGGGGAAATTTGGGAGCCGGATGCAGTGTCTCACACCTATAATCCCAGCACTTTGGGAGGCCAAGGTGGGAGGATCACTTGAGCTCAGGAGTTTGAGTCCAACCTGAGCAACATGGCAAAACACCATTTCTACAAAAAAAATAAATAAATAAATAAAAATTAGCTGGGCATGGTGGCCAGGCACCTGCAGTCCCAACTACTTGGGAGGCTGAGGTGGGAGGATCACTTGAGCCTGGGAGGTTGAGGCTACAGCAAGCCAAGATCTCATCACTGCCCTCCAGCCTGGCCAACAGAGGGAGACACTGCCTCGAAAAAATAAATGAGAATAAAAATAATAAATTAATTAAACGTATGTTTGCATACTACCTGCAAGATTTAAAAAAAAAAAAATTTAAGGGGAAATTTGGACTTAAAGTCTCTGATCCCACATGCTCATCCTCCCACACAAAGCTGAAGTGTCCCCTCCCTGGAATCTGTGCGGGCGTGTGATCAGGGCTGAAGTGGCCCTGGGTGCGCGAGGTGGCACTGAGCAGCTGGATGTGCACTGGGACTGTTTACTCGCAAACACTTGATAGAGCAACCACCCCTGAGGCTCAGATGAGCCCCCTGCTCGGTGTCAAGCTGCCTCACATCCACTCTCTGCCTGGTGAGGTGCAGACTGCACCAGTTTCAGCCAGCTGGGCCGACTCTGGGAGCCCCACCCTTCTTCCCACTGCCCCTCTGGCCAACAACTCCACTGCCCAGGTAAGGGCTGGGGAGGGCCTCTGCAGACACAGAATGTCTTGACCACTCTGTCCAGTCATGACTGCAACCACATCTATGACTTGTTGCCCCTCCCTCCTCTGTACAGGCTGGTGTGCAGTGGGGAACTAACAGGTGAATGCTGATTTCTGGAGAGGAGAAAGGAAGCTTTGTTCACTCATTCATTCATTTCTTCCCTCATCTAGTAGCTCCTGCACATGTCGTGCATGTATTTGTGAAAGAGAAATACGCCTCCCAGACCCGTCCCAGAGCACCAGTCCTTGGGAATCAGGGCAGGAGAAGGTCATACCTGTGCACCAGCACTACTGCAGCCCCTGAACCAGCCCTACCACTGACACTGTCAGAGCTTTTTGATCCTTTTAAGATCGAAGATAGGTGTTTCTACTTTGTACTTACAGTTATATTTAGAGAGAAAATAAACCTAGCCCTCAACAGTAGAGACACTCTGGTCCCAACTTTGTTTCACAGACTTCACTGCCCCAGGACCCTGGCACCACTCACAGGGAAGGATTGTATCCAGTGGTGACTGTGTGTGCTGCGGAATGGTTGGACCTTCCAGACCCTGCTGGAGATGGTCTCAGACCCCTGGAGCATATAGAGTTAGAGGTAAGTCACGCACTCTGAACTCTGCCTTCTCCTGGCCCCGGACAGCTGTTCCCGCCTCTGTCCCCTCAGCCTTGTCCTCAGTGCACCGACACCTGGGCTCAAGGATCATCTGCAGGGCACAGCAGTTTGGTGGGGTTGAAGAACACCGTGTACTCGGTCCTCTCCAGCTATACTCAACTATTTATAGATAATTCTAGACCAAGAGAAGGTTGGTGAACTCTGTGACAGACCTCAAGGTCTACAAGGGTCTCAGGGGAGACAGGAGGCATTCAGTGCTCCTGCCTGGTTGGTAGACTTTTGTTTTTGTTTTTGTTTTTAGAGACAAGGTTTCACTCTGTTGCCCAGGCTGGAGTGCAGTGGTGCAATCACAGCTCACTGCAGCCTCCAACTCCTGAACTCAAACAATTCTCCTGTCCCAGCCTCCCAAGTAGCTGGGACTACAGGCATGTGCCACCACGCCCAGCTAATTCTTTCTTTATTTTTTGTGGAGACAGGGTCTTGCCATGTTGCCAAGACTGGTCTCAAATTCCTCGTTCAAGGGATCCTCCTGTGTCAGCTTCCTAAAATGCTGGGATTACAGGTGTGAGCTACTCACCGCACGCCCGGCCTAATAGATATTTTAGACTCTGTTTCAGTGATCCACTGCTACATGGCAAACCACCCATAATGTAGTCGTTTAAAACAAGACTTGATTCGTTCCCCAGTTCTGTGGGTTGCCTGGTTGGTTCTTCCGGTTCCACCTGCAATCATGCATGTGGTTATGGTCATTGATGGCTGGACCAGCTGCGCTGGGAGGTCTGTCCAAGACTGCAGCTCATTCTCCTGCACATGGCTCTGATCTTAGCAAGCCCCCGCCCTCGGTGGTTCAGTGGTCCCTCTGGTCACCTATTCTCCCTATCTCCTTTCCTCCTCCTTCATGTCAGGGTCCCCCAGTCCCCATCTCCCTCATTTCTCATCTGAAGGCATGCTTACCTAGTGCCTTTCCACCCCCGTGCTCTCACATGGTGCTAAGCCAGGCTGGCACCAGGCTCCTTGTCACCACAGGACCTTTGCCCATGGTCCCAATGCCAGGATGAATCCCAATCCCTCAGAACTAACCTCCTTCCTCCAGGTGCTCTTTTTTTTTTTTTTTGAGACGAGTCTTGGCCCCCTCCCCCTTTGGTGGGGTACCCAGGCGGATACAGGGCACAACATCGTCAGCTCACGGCAAGCCTCTGCCCTCCCGGGTTCACCATTCTCGACTGCTTTTCAGCCTCCCCGATAGCTGGACACAGGCCCCACCACCACGCCCGCTATTTTTTTTTTTTTTTTTTTTTTTTTTTGTATTTTAGTAGAACGGGTTTCACTGTGTAGCCAGGGGTCTTGGATCCCTGACCCTCGTGATCCACTCCCGCCCTCAGGCCTCCCAAAGTGCGGGATTAACAGTGTGAGCCACCCTTTATAGCACCAGCCTTTTTTTCTTTTCTTTTCTACTTTTTTTTTTTTTGTTAGTACAAGTCTCTGCCAGGCCGCAGCGCAAGGAAGGCAGTGGTGTAACCTCATAGCTCCCTGCAGCCTTGAACCCCCTGGCCCTCCCAAAAGCCAATCCTCACTGCCTCGGCGCGTTCCCAAAAGTTGGGATAGCAGACGTAGCCCTCACACCTGGCTACCATACGTGTTTTTGCCAGGCGCGTTTATCAGCAGTTTAACTGCACCTGTGCTTTTCTTCTGCCACAATCTCTATGAGATTGTTTCCTGGTTAAATTCATCAGCTGAAGAGTTCAACCCTTTAGCAATCTTTTTGTTGGTGGTTGGTCTTGTTGAGACAGTCTCTACTCCCGTCACCCAGGCTGGAGTGAAGTGTCACCATTCAGGCTCACTACAGACTCTCTACCACAGAGTCACATTTAAAAGTAGCCACTCACAATAGCAGTCACAGGCACCTGCCTACCATGCCTAGCTAATTTTTGTTTTTAGTAAGACAGGATTTCCGCATATTGACCCAGACTGGTCTCCAAACTCCTGGTGCCCCAAGCGAATCCTCGGCCATCTCAACCTCCCACGGTGCTGGAATTACAGGTGTCAGCCGCCGTTTAACTTACCTAGTGTCCAACCTTTAACTTACCTAGTGTCCCCTGTATACCACTAACCCTCAACAACAAGAATTTGAACTTTCTGGGACCACTTATACACAGTTTTTCTTATGCCTCTTTCACCCCTGAGACTGTAAAATCAACCCCCTCCTCTTCCTCCTCCTCCAGTAGGATAATCCATCCGTTTCTACCTAATGAATAGTAAATAGATTTTATCTCCCTTAAGATTATCTTAATAACATTTTCTTTTCCCTAGCTTACTTTATTATAAGAATACAGTACAGGCAGGGCACAGTGGCTCACGCCTATAATCCCAGCACTTTAGAAAGCCGAGCCAGGCAGATCACCTAGGTAAGGAGTTCAAGATCACCCAGGACAACATAGCAAAACCCCATCTCTACTAAAAATACAAAAATTAGCTGGGCGTGGTGGCACACGTCTGTAATCCTAGCTACTTGGGAGGCTGAGGCAGGAGAATCACTTAAACCTGGGAGGTTGCAGTGAGCAGAGATGGTGCCACTGCACTCCAGCCTGGGCCACAGAGTGAGACTCCATCTCAAAGTAAAAAAAAAAATGCATACAGTACATAATATGTTTAACATTCAAAATATGTGTTAATTGTTGGTATCATCAGTGAGGCTTCAAATCAACAGCAGACTTTTAGTAGTTAAGTTTTGGGGGAGTCAAAAGTTATATACAGCCAGGCAGATTGTCCACCGAACAGGGGACTGGCTCCCCTAAACCCCATATTACTCAAGAGTTTACTATTCACTATAGTATAACGGCATGAACGAATGAATGAGTGAATGATGCCTCTCGTGTGGAGTGAAATGCTCACCCAGCACCTGGGCACACATACA